AGTAAGATTTTGAGAAAATGAACAGCCACTGTGTGGTTGGTGGACTTTGCATGAGGTCGAGTCGAGAAACCGGCAGAATAAATGGGCTTGACTCCAACAGCATTTCTGCAATTCATATGCTACAGGTCGTTCTTTATACTGCATTTATACAGCTAGGCATTAAACAAATGTTGAAGCGATATAACCACCCTTGTATCTCTAAGTTGTGGGGTAACCAAGTCGTCTACTCCTGTTAAGGAGGAGCCAGGTGTTCGCACTCGCGAGCATTCATGAGTGCCTCCGTTATCGTCATTGAAAGCTTCATCTATTATGCGGTTTCACTATACAAGACTTTGCGTGAGGGATTCTATTCTCAGCAATGGTTTCGATTCTGTAGACTGGAAATATCAGTCACTAAAAATCATTATCCACCTATGTATAGCCATTTTTCATGGCAATCAATCAGGCGTCTGGCATCCGAAAAACTGAGTGCTACAATTTTGCATCACATTCAACTTTAATTCTTCTTTGGGCACGGATACACATGGGTTTTCGTCTTTTATCGCAGGAGACTTTACTTGTCACCACATCCGGTTGCATAAGTCCACTTGCAAATACTATTGCCTGCTGTCCGAGGCGTCATTGAATGAATTGTCCAAGGTGAAGGTGCGTCCACTGACGGTGTCACTGACCCCGTTTGCGCTTTAGTGTCCTCAACAGCCTCTCAGCTTCTCTGTACGTTGCAATAATAGAATCCACTCTCGAAAATTTGCAATACGGAAGTATAACCACTACCCTATAATGCTCTCCTTGGCATGATAAAATACAGGGCCTTAATTTTTAAAACTCATGCCAGTAGCATATGATGCACTAAAATTACTAATGAAATTTTTATTATGCACTTGATGAAAGGTCTTATAAAACCCACGAGTATATGAAAGTGAGAGAATTTACAATGACTGAAGTGTAGATTTGCTGCTAAACACAATCAATGGACTTGAATATTGCACATAAAATTATGGAAACACTCAATTTAAAGCTCTTATTATTAGTATGTTCCAATTCGAAAGCCTTCGTTAGTATTTCTCAGCCGACCGAGCGAGATCTGTAATTTGCCTTGTCACGCAAACCTTTTAAGATCTAAAAGGTTCAAAGATTGAAAAAATTAAAATAAATAAAGTATGTCTTGTACAACATCTTAGGTTTGCGAGTTTACTCCTGTGAAAAGATAATAATCGGTTTCCTCGACCAAAACACTTATTGTTACTGTCAAAAAGTTATAGCGCATAAATTCGGCATTGACTATTTATTTTGCAACACTTTCTGGGCAATGATTAAGGAGCTGAATTTGTTAAACCAAATTTTCAGTCTCAAATCGTTAATTGTATTGACGTCCAGTTGCTGCGATCAAAACTGACAACCACGCAAATGCCAGTGGTGTTCGCTACATGGCAGGGAAGCTACTGTGGATGAAACATCACTTTTTGCCCATTTGATATGAAATCATGGCTGTTGGGCAAATCATTTGACCGCTTTTACAACCACCTTTCTGCTACATATTTGCTTCACCTATCGACTACCACCTCATGGCCCACGCATCTCCAGTCACTTTCGGGGCAGCGCAAATCTTGCACACTATTTGCAACTTCTCAATTTTTAGTTTTCCGTAAAAGGTAATTTGTAGTAAAAAATACATATCTTTCGAAAAACTGCAATTGAGTATCACCAAACCTTTCGTTCCCACAAAGGCAGAGTGATTGATTTGTTGCCAATTTAAGAACAGAACCACTGGTGACTGATATGATGCTTTGGTTGTCATTTCAGCAACGCTTAGGCTTGAAGGCACGGACGTTGTATGTTATGTCCGGACTTTGGCTTGTGACGGTAAATATTCTGCAACGCTGATATACTTATTTGCAACCTCAAGGAAGTTCTTGAGTGATGCACAAACTTTATCAAAACTCCAGTGCTTACATCTTGTTATGCTCTTTTTCGACAAGAGGCGATCAGTAAATACGAGCCTCGGAAGAGATTGAGAGCGGTCGGATCGCAAAGCGGAAACGTTTTCTGAACATCCCTACTCGCGGCACCATGACTTCATCGAATCCGTCATAAAAATATTCGTACTCAATAAATTGTTCAGCAAGCGAAAAAATTTGACTCACTCTAAAGTACGAGAAGCATCGGCACAAGAATATTGCTGAGCCAAAAGATATTAGCTGTATGTTATGCCACTGACAAATTTCCACAGCACAATTCTTCCCTAAAAAGATTTATCACTGACAGGCAGTTTTAATGACCCAAGTAGTTCACATATAGGGTACCTCTGTTACAAAGGTCTGGCCTGACGTAGACTACCGGATTTTAACTTTCTCAAATGTGCAAAGAGCGACTGATAAACAAATAAATGATTTGACAAAAGCTGCACCATGGGTTCCCATGGTTATGAGTGCAACTCTTATATGCTTGCGTAAAATAGTTTCAACTCTCGCACGATCTCTCTTTTGCGTTACCCGTTAAAACGTTGTCAACGCTTCTAAAAGTAAGGACTCAACGAAGTTCGTATGCAGCCTTCCCGTGATGACAAGTAAGTACTAAAATGTAGCATGGATTTCGGAAATGGTGGCTCCATTTGCTTTTGCTGAAGTCTTCTGTGCTAATCTAAGTTGATATTTAAATACCGCTTCCCCAAATTAAATTGTTTGCGTTCACATGATGCCTTGCTGCGCAAGTGACCTACCTCTCACCACGTACTCCCTGAATAGGCAAATATTCCAAATCATCTTATTCGCATCCACACAAGTGCCAAAGTCAAGGCCATTGCGACTATTTTAAAGGAACTCCGATTGAGTTTTTTCTCCCTCCATTGGCCACTCGTCACCACCATGCTTAAATGGC